TTAGTAATTGTGCAATAAAACGATTAAAGTATCACGCGTTATTATGCTAAGGAACCGAATAATAAAAGCTGATGGAAGTTAAAACAGTTTAAGAAACACGAGTAAACGCGTTACATGTTGCATATGAGAGCTTAACTTTGGAATACATACATATACATAACTTGGTTATATTTATTTTTTAACTATACACTTGGTTACAACTTTTTTTAAACTTAATATGTATGGTCATGACATTTACTAATATGTTCTGCAATCGTATTTTTCAAGAGTTAGTATAAGTATAAGGAACAATTATATATGCATCGTGAAAGTTAAAATAATAAATTCAATTTACTTATGGTAGAAAATGTTTGAGCTGTTTGTAGCTTGAAAAATTTTCTACTCGCGTAATTTTTAACTGCATACGATGTGCTACATGTTTTATTGTTAACGGAATAGTTTTTATTCTGGCCATGTGAACAAAAAACAGTTAACGTCCGAAACACATTGATTTTCAATCGAGAATTTCTGTGACATTTTCACAATGCTGTTCGCGATTGAAGTAAATGCACAGAATATAGTTGGCATGACACATAACCTAGAAACACTTAACTTTCAAAACGATTTGTGGAAAAGGTTTTGATGTCATTTTATTCAGAGATTTAAAACATTAGTGAATTAGTGCAAGTGATATTAATATTGGCTTCGTTTTGTTTGTTTTATTCTACGCTTTCGTACGCTGTCTATTAATTTTCCTGCAAGAATAACTATTTATCTTATAAGTTTCTGTATTTACAAGAGAAATTACGAACAATATAAATGACGGTATGCGTTTGATTGTGCATTTCCAGAAGACACACTTTTAATAAAGTAATCGTGAGCAGTGTAAATATATCACTGTTGTTGTGAAAAATTCAGTTTGATGCATCTATCAAATAATAACCTTGATAAGTTCGAAATGAAAATTCCGTCAAGAAGATATTAATGTTTCGAACTATCTTCTCCTGTCAAAGGTAATTTAATCACATCCTTATACCGCTCTGTTTCTTTTTTAAGTCTATATAAGTTGTACTAATTAAATACGGATTTCAGCTGATTGTAGGATGCTTTTACAAAACAGTTCAATCAAGGATTATTATTTTTGTAAAATCGTTAGAAAACGAAAGTAACAGATATCATTACAAAATATATGAGAGGAGTTTTGCAGAGGATTATTTCAATACCATGTGAAGAAGTTTTTGGTTAAAGTTGGTAATTTTGTTTATATATTGTAAACATTGATTTATTTGTCCTAACATTTATAATTTCTGTGTGTCTAGGTAGTCATGGATGAAAGGAGGGTAGCAGATTATTTTGTTATCGCTGGTTTGCCCGGTCAAGATAGTGATTTTGAAAATGATAATGAAACTCAAGAGAAATTGGAAGATTGGTACCAAGAGGGAACACATGTCAAAGACATGCATATGAAACCTCCAATCACTGATCTTGCCATTATATTCCCAGCATTAGGCGAACAATGTCCAGAAGGATATACTTTGTTAGAGCATACTGTTTCAGGTTTATCAGCTGATTTAAACCATGGTAGCTTAAGAACAAATGAATGTTATTTATGTTATCGGAGAGGGAGAGACAAACCTCCTTTAGTTGATATAGGTAAGCCAAGAGGTATAATATATTAAAATTACATTGGCAGTATATGCTCAACAAAAAACACTAATTCCAGGTGTTATATATGATGGCAAAGAACGCATAATGCAAGATGCAAAAATGGTGTTGGAAACTCCTAATGGACATTTAGCAAATGTGAACAATTCGACATCAAGAATTTTTGTCACATACAGACGGGCAAGTCATAAAATGTCCTGCAACTCTTTAGTCGTAACAGATATATGTGTGATCTTGATGAATAAAGGAGAAACACCACCACATGCTTTTTGTATTATCAATAAGAACTTGAACAAGGGCATGTTGGGCAGCGATGTATATTTGTGTTACAAGAAGTCCATGAATCGCGCGAATCTAATATCATTTAAGCCAACCGTTCTTTACAAATATCCGATGTCTGATTATAATAGTTTTGTTTTTCCAAATTCTGTTGCAATGTTCTGCTTACCAATGGGAGCAACAATAGAATGTTGGCCAAAGATGGTCAGTAAACCAAAACCAGTGTTTTCGACATTTGTTTTAACTGTTGCCGATGCGGCTCAGAAAATATATGGTTCGGCGATAACGTTTTACGAGGAGATTGAATTGGAATTGGATATCTCCAATTCGAAAGAGAATCAACAGTTGCCCGATATTCTCGCGGAGAACATTCAGAATTCTGGTAGGAGAATATACATGCGTTCAATCTGTAAAATTATGTTTTATTAACTATGTGCTTTGTTGCAGTTGACCACACAGAAATCGATAAGGAACAGTCGCAAGTAAAAGCGCTTAAGCGGACTGGAATACTTAAGAAGCTTACCCAACTGCAATTGGAGAAGCTGCAGTTGACGGATCCCGCTTCTCAGTCGTTGAATATCAGTAAATCAATATGCATTCTGTCTCACTGGCCATTCTTCGATACGTTCGAGAAATTTTTAGTTTTTCTACATAGCCTGGTTAATAACAAACCGCAGAACGTTCCTATTGAGAAATATATAGCATATTTTTTGTACGACATACCGTTCCCGAGCCCACAGAGACCAAGAATCCTTGTACAATTAAGTAGCAACAACAGATTAATTTTAACACAACCGGAAGATTTAGCGTTGCCTAGGTCCGGCGCTAGTTTCCGGCAATTACTCACTAACTTAGGGCCTGACAATTGTTTACTTATATTGCTGTTAATATTAACTGAGCAGAAGATACTTGTACATTCATTGCGTCCTGATGTACTTACATCGGTCAGTGAAGCTATCGCAATGATATTATTTCCATTTAAGTGGCAATGTCCATACATACCATTATGTCCATTAGGTTTAGCAGAGGTAAATTATATGCTTATATTAACAATTTACGGGAAGGTATTATCGTGCAATATGAAAACGTGTTTTGAAATTACAGGTGTTGCATGCTCCGTTACCATTTTTAATCGGCGTGGATTCTAGATTCTTTGATCTATACGATCCACCCTCTGACGTTAATTGCGTTAATCTGGATACGAATAATATAGCAATTTGCGACGACAAGAAATATCTGAACGTAAAATTACTGCCTAAGAAGGCAGCTAGACAACTTCGAAATTGTCTAGAGCATCTTTATTCGAAACTGATCTCTTTGGGAAAAAGTTATTCATCTATGAAAGGTGTCTACAGCGTTTTTGTGTGTTCTCATTTCCTATTGTTTTCTCATATGTAATTGTTTTCCTTTCAGATTTAGACGATGAAGAGTTCAGCGTCGACAAAGAATTTCAACAGAAGCGGAAGGAGCAAGCTTTGGAACTTGAAATACAAGATGCTTTTTTAAGATTCACAGCTACCACATTAAAAGGATATCGTGCTTTCTTATTACCCATCACGAAAGCTCCAACAGTTGGCTCAACGGATCCGACTAGTTTGTTTAATATACAAGCGTTTCTCAGAAGTCGAGACAAAGCTCACGCGAAATTTTATAGCATGTTAGTGAAGACACAGATGTTTATAAGGTAGTACATGTGTTTTTCAATTGATGAAATTTTCAGTTTCTTCATTGCATAGTTTTATATATTACTGTACCACAAATTGCAATGTTTGAGACATGAATCAGATGTTGACGTTAGTATAAGATATCATATTCACTTTTTCATTATTTGCACAAGCGATGATACTTTATTGACATCATGATTAATAATATCGGTATCTGATTCACACATGTCTAAACATTGCAACGCATGAAAACATAATCAAATTAAAACATATTATGTTTTTAGGTTTATAGAAGAAACGAGTTTCGTATCCGATATGGATATGGCAGGTCTAGCGTTTTTCGACGAATGCACTGAACGCGTTGAGGATGAAAATGGTAACAATGAATCCAACACATTTCTTTATATTCTATCTCGTCGCTTAATATTTTTGTAACCATTTTAGTACCACTTCTGGAACTGGATGAATCTCAGCATAGCGAACGAACAGTATTTATACCTCCACCGGAAGCTGGTCCGAGTCAAGCCCCGCTCATTTATCGCACATTTAAATTGAATCCCGATTTAATAAGGCCACAGAAACATTTCAATATAAAGAACGCGAATTTAAGTGCCTTCGGTATAATACCAGGGAGTCCCATGGCACGCAGAACGAAACACGAAATTAAGGTGGCACAGAGGATGGCACGCAAACAGGTACGACTTATTTGTTTTATCATTTTCGCTTTATAATTCATGATTCACAAATAATATTTCATTTTTTAGGCAGCAAAGCCAGATCGGTGGAGCAGATGCCTGCTCGGAACCTGTTACAGTCTTTGGTTTCTACATTTACCTGCGATGTTGCAAGTGTCTACGCAGCCAGCCACAATTTTACATCAGGCATACGATTTATTAGTTAAAATGTCGAAATTACATCTTGATCCTATCGAAGAGGTAAGCTTCGCGAGTTTTGAAACAACTCTTAGATTTATTTACAGAATTTTATAAGAAATTTTGGTTGCAGGTCTGTTACAGAGCTATGATGCAACTTTGTGGTGTTTATGGACAACCTGTCTTAGCTGTAAAATTATTATTTCATATGAAGCGCAGCGGTGTTCAACCAAATGCTCTTACATATGGATTTTATAACAAGGTTCGTTACTACTACGAACAACAATGTCTTTCTTTGTTTCATTGGATGATAATAAGTCAACGATGAAAATTGTAGGCCGTATTAGAAGCAACTTGGCCATCCGATATGACTAACTCCAGCCAATTGATGTGGAATAAACTTAGAAATGCCATAGTTGGAGCTGCGTTATTTAAAAGAGCTGGTAAACGCAGTGCTAGACGAAGGTTAAGTTCGAATGCAGATTTGTTAACTGTGGATGGTAAAACCGCGAATATGGAACATGCATTTTCTAGGTCTAGTCTTGACAGCTCTCATTCTCAAGACACAGAAGCTGCACACAGCGATTGTAAGTATTGATTAGCTTGACTTAATGTGTCGTGTTTTGTCAAGACGATTCACTGTCTCATTCTACTGTATGCACAGCTACGAAAGGAAGTTCCACTTCGGATTTACCAGAATACGGACCATTTGAAATAAAAAAGCTTCCACGACAAAACAGTATAGTAAAAGACTCTGTGGCATTAAATGCTATGCAAATAGAGGAACTCAATAATTCATCGATGACGCAAAGGTAACTTTATTGTTGTTTTTTTCCTTACTACTTAAGATTGTTTAAAATATGGTCTAAACCTGCTTCAGGTTGATTCCGAACTTAGAATCACCGTTGAAGAGTCCTATACGCACACCAGTCACCGAAAATGATCCGTTGGGTGCCCTAATTAATGACGAGACGCCGATCGTCTCGCCTTCAGAGGAGAACGATTCGAATTGCTCAACGTGTACTCTAACCGTTTTTAATAATGTCGAAGAGAGACCGGGAGGACCACTTTTATTTCGAAGGTAAATTTATTCCTTGATTTTCTTCAAATTTAATTTACTCCTCCTCGGAATATAATTCGATGATTTTGTTTCAGCAATGTCTTGCCACGTAGTGCAACATTTCATCAATCTATAGATGAAACAACCGGTGTCGCAATCGGTGGCCACTTACAAAGAAGCGAAACAATGCCCCATTCTGTGGCGCAGCAAGGAGAACAAGATAAAGAGAGGGAAAGGCTGGTAGAGTTGAGCAGTCTTTGGTCTCAAAAGGATAGTGTTACCTCCAGTTTATCCAGCCTAGGGTCTAGTTTGAAGCTTAGTTTCAAGTATAATCATATTTCGATCTGTCTAATAATTATGCTGTCACTTAATTCGGAAAATTTAAGAAAGCTCTTCTTTCAGCACTACAAGTTTAACAGGGAAGAAATCCAATGAGCTGATACTCGGTGGCTTGAATAGTTTAAAATCGGCCGCCACGACAGTGGTGAAAAAATTCGACGTAATTAAAGAAGCCATTTCTGCGACCAGCACACCTGTAAAACTTAAAGAGCGTGATTATAGAATAGCGCATGGAGCGTCGCACGAATCGCTGGATTCAATGACTGATGGATCTGTGCAAGATCGGAACGAAGCCCTGAAAATGGCTGGTCTGTACAATTCCAGACTCCGTTAAGAGATGAAAGAACGCAAAAAGTTAATCGAACAAATCTTCGTTAAACAGGTGACGGAAATCTTGATTCTTATGCTTTGGACGACCTAGAATGTTTATATTCAAAAGGATCAAGAGAACTCGACGAACGAATCGCTGTTGAGCTTGTACTGTCTAGTGCAAGTCGGTGTCATCATTGTGCCTCCATACTCTACGACGAAGAGATCATGGCTGGTTGGCAACCGGAGGACTCGAATTTAAATACTGTCTGTCAATATTGTGACAAAGCAACAGTACCTTTGCTGACTATAACGATATTAGATTATAGGTAATGGAAGGTACAGTATAATGTCTCTATGAGTGTCGTAGTTCCTACTTCACTAACTGTCGCGTGTTCATTATGAATAATGATGTATCAAGAAGACTTATATCACAGATAGATGACAGTAATTCATTTCCAAATTGTGTAACTTTTATTACAATTCAATAATAAATCTGCGACATTTATAGGGGCAATACAGGTATACATAGTGATTCGTGGTAAACAAAACTACTAAATATATCTGTTGATCGTTAGACCATACGAATGATGACAGAGCTATTTTATTGTTTTTGTTCCAAGCGATTCACTTCGTATATATGAGTTTATATCGTGCGGTTGTAAAGTTCGAGTAAAATTTGTTAAAGATGCGAAGAAAACGAAAGGAAAAACGATCCTTTAATGGGAGCACTAGTTGAACTTTTGGACAAACCGAAAGAATTATTGGAACCCACCACAGTGCCATATTTGAACCCTTTAGTTCTAAGAAAGGAGTTAGAAAGTGTCTTAAGCCAAGAAGGTGATACATGTCTTACAAAGCATAAGTTTATCGAAGAACATCCAATTGTGTATTGGAATCTTATATGGTACTTTGAACGAATTAATTTAACGAGTCACTTGCCAGATCTATGGTTAAGTAACGATAAGAAACACGAACAAATAAACTATGGTGCAGTAGGTGTTAAAACCATGTGGGACAACGAGAGACTTCATATGGATCGTCTGCCTATGTACCTCCAATGGAAATTTAATGTTGCAGAGGATAAAACGTAAATGCAACTATTTGTGTTGGCGTCTAGTATTTAAATGTTTCGTTTTATATATATATAACATTGTTTGACTTTCATTTATAACAGGTTAATGCAGTCAGTGATCACGCATGTTCGTCGAAATGATCTAGCGGATCCTATTAAAAGAGTGGCCTTAGAAAGAAGCAGAAATCAAGCACTTGACCAACCTCTATTTTCTATATACCGTGATATCTTGTTTTTGGCATTTACTGTCTTGGGTAGAGGGAATATTGATCAAGGTAATACAGCAAACTCGTTAAAATTGGTGGAAGAGTTCTTTTGGTTTCACGATTACTAAATTATGTCCACATAGATTTTTCATGTATAGAATTAATTTTGTACAGGTGTTAAAAGGTTTACTTGTGTTGCTTGCAGGTGTTTTCGACAGAGAATATAATTTATCATTAGACAGATTATCAGAAGGTGAGGAGAAGCTGTTGTGTAAACTTGATGCTCCACCCTCGATGATGTCAGTGTGTTGCAGACATTATTTTAAGCAACTGAGCGTGTAAAAATAAAGAGTAAAAGGTATAAAAAAATGGTGTAATATATTGTGAAAATCAATAGAACATTCTGGAGAAACATTACAGGTTTATCTGTTCAAGTCTGATTTCGATATTCGTAGCGAATCGATTTTCTTTTTTAGATGAACGCGTGTGCGATCATTTACCACGAAATTTTCGTGAGGGCACTCGATATATCTCGATGAATTCGCTTAACAAATACGAATTATACACTTCTTTTCATATTTGAAGTATGCAATTTACTATAAATAATTTTTTTATTTAGAAAGTAGGCTGCGCATACAATTTCTTATGGCAATATGTGAATACCTACTTAGTTGTATCTATCAACGTGATATTAATAATTTTTCAGTACCAAAGAAACTGACTTGATCATAAAACTGTAGATTCGATTTCTTTTTAATACGAAATATACGAGGTTATGCGGTACGCAAGTATCGCGACACGAATTTTCTAATTGGTATTAATTTCAACAATGTTCGCTTCGTAATTACACGGATTAAATGACTACGGTTGCGTTTCGAAACACAGAGGGTAGCAATAGGACTCTTTACGTCTATGTAACATTAACAAAAAAAAAGACAATATTAATTTTCTTATATTTTAGTTGGAACAATTTAAATAGTTTATGACTAATAGTTGAATAATTTACGCGTTCACGATGAAAAGTGCTTGAAACTATAACATCGACTCTCATTTATTACTTTGTAGTGTTAGGTGTACAAAAACAGATTATTTTTACGAATTTGTTGCATTGAAAAAGAAATAGTAATTACTTGTCTAGTTCTTTGTTCTCAATTCATGAGTATTCATTTTATTTTTGCAAGCTTTGATATTTAACAACACAAAATCGTATTTCTGTAGGCTAGTCAATAATACGGAGCCGCAATTAATAATAAGGGAAAGGATTCTCTTGAAAAATTTTCGAAAGTATTCTACACCTTCAAATTTAGGAAAATTCTATAATAGAGAACTTTACTTGCGAAGACTTATACTTCTAAAATGGACCGATGTTTGTTAAATTTGTTATTATTCTTGTGTTTAGAATACAATTGCAAATTTTTCCGCGGGTTTTTGGCCATGCTGTAAAAAAAAATTCGACGTGACTTAGAGAATTCTAACATTTTATTATTTTCGTACATTTTTAACAGTGCCCGCTTGGAAAATAATGTAAAACAATTATAAATTAATAAATGCGATCTTTTAATTATGTACAGACACGAACATTTACTTTGACTTTTAATTTAAGCATCATTAACGGTGATCCGACATTAACAATTTTCTTGATTTGGTACGAAACTTCGGTACAAAAAAAATATTGTTTTTCTGTTGCGTATATAAATTGTACTATAGATCGTTCGTTAAAAATCATAGCAACGAAATATGCATATACAAATTAATGAAATCATGCTATGCACTTTTCACTATGAACTCTGTAAAAAGTGTACTACTGTATGTATATTCGTTCATTACTATATCATGAATATAAGATACAAATAAAAGTCAGTCATGGTATTTTATATAAATGTGTTTCCTTATGTTATGTTTGTTCGTAGGACAGTTTCGCAAGGTTCACGAAAGAAAAACGGTATGAATAGTACTAGCTATAATTATAGTAAGTATTTTAATTATTCTATGCTTTTGGTAAACGATACAAACCACCAGAGAATAGCAACTGGTGTTCTCTGACCTTTCTATCAAGAAATTGTTTTAATTCAAGTAAACCACATTCCATCGAACCTGGACCTTGAGACGCAAACATTTTCAACATCTGATGAATTCTTTCCAAAGGCATCGAATCTAAGTTAGTCAACATTCCAACGATGTAGGACCAGAATACTTGCAGCTCCTCTTCCCTCTGATCACTCGCGGATGCCATTACACTTTCAACCTCTTCTTCTTCAACGACGTTTGTTAATGACCTACTTTTCGTGGAACTCTCCTCTTGCAGTATGAAAACATCGTTCGAACTTTCTTTCAATATTCCCTGCGATACCCAGAACGTTATTTTTCTTCTGAGCACTGTAGCTGGAGCGTGCATTACCTCTGCCAGTTCTTCTAAAGTCCACTCTTCTGTAAAAATGATTTTGAAAGCACAGTTATAAATATGTTCAAAGAATGAACACTTCAAGTTCATAATTTGCTAATATTTCTTACTCTTATCTTGAAAATGTAAGATTATCGTGGCGTGAATCGGTGTCACATTAATTTCTGACTTTCTGTCTTTTAATTCAATCTCTAACGTGACGTTTCCAAGATGAGGCTTCCAACAAAGTGTTCGATTTCCCTTCAAGGTTTCAAACGCCTTCACATATTTATTCAATTGGGTCTGCACAATTTTGGGCAATTCTAATTTCCAGTTCTCCTTGAACGGCGGCCAAAATTGCGCTGACAATATCAAAGCAGACGTGGGAAACTCCTCTTTCTCCAATGTATAGCTAGTATCCGACTGTATATGCCCGTCTATTCTCTTGGAATCATATACATCTTTCAACATAACCTCGCAGAAATGAAGTTGATTCTCTCCGAAACGCCTTTTCAACAATTCTAAATGGCGAATCTCTCGCTCAGTATGGTAATTCAATTGAGACAATAATCTGTCTGCTAATAGCGTGCGATATTCGTTCACGAATAAATCCTGGCTGCCATACACGCTCACCAACGTCGAGATTATATCAGACACTCGACGTTGTGCTGATTTTGCTGTAAAAGTGTTTCGATTAAAACTCAATACAAACGACATAATCTCTAATTCTATTTTTTAAATGTACCAGGATCAGCATCGACAGGATCAGGCATCCATTTATCCCAATCTTCATCTTCTTCTTCATCGGAGTAATCATCTAGCTGCAATGTTTCGCCTTTCACTAATTCATCTGCTAGATCACTCGACGAATCGTCGACCAAGTCGCTTACGACGCAGCGCACAGTATCTTCTCTCGTTCTCAAATAAACTCTGCATCAAATGTAAATTATTTTCTTTAAAATTGATGTATTATATTGCTGTGTTATATGTAATTCTAACAATAAGTACTTGATTGGTTCTGTTATTGTTTCGAGAAGAACTCCTGTAGGATCCAGTTGTTTCAATGCTCTTATAGCTGCGATATAGGCAGTTAATATATCCGGTGTATTCACGCCTGGATGCAATAATCTCGTTGTTAGAGCATCCTGTAAACTATCTATTAAAACTTTTCGCAAATCGGTTCGTTCCAAGCAAACGCGTAAGTCGTCTATCGCTGGTTGAGAATCAGGATACTCTGAACATAAGAATAATCTAAGTACATATGTATGTATATGTATAAGTTATATTATGTATGTAATGTATAGAAGAATACCTATTATAATATCGAAAAGCTGCTCAATTCGAAATCTCGTGTACGTTTCATACAGAAAGTGAGATAGCTTTTGTTTAAATTTATTTATAGCATTCCGAGTTTGGTCGCTCAAGGAAATGATTTTTGAGAAGCCACCAGAGTATACTCTTATCAACCAACTCATAACGATTGTTTCAAGCCACTGTAAAATTAAATATTAAATACCATGCTTGCTTCAAAGTTTACGCAAGTATTTCACATAGATCATATTTTTTTACATTTTCAAGTGACTCTAACTGCGATACATCAAATGTTTTATCGCATGATTGATTCACATGATTCTTAATGTGTACGTGAATCAACGATGTTAGAACGTTTCCGGCTAGCCTCTCCAATAATTCTAGTTCAATCAATTTTCGATTTGTTTCATGGAACATAATCACTATTTGCTGACAACGACATTTCTCTACTTCCAGATAGCATCCAGTACATTGAAGGTAATCACTGCCAGCAGTAGTTACTGAAATAATAGACGATACATCAACAGAGAACAATACAACAATAGATATATAAATTTAAATATTAATTACCTTGCGTTGAATTGTCTGTGCAACAGAATACATTGAATGCAATCTTATAAAATTGTTCTACTACATACTCATAACCAAGTGGTATTTGACTTAATAATGTGGATCTCACAATTAATTTAAATCTACTTGGTACGTCACTTTCACTTGTTGTGGAACAAATTGATTCTTCTTGTACAAGGTATTCTAATCTTTTTAACAATGGCAAAAATTCTGTCATACGTGTATATAGGCCATCTACCGCACTTTTAAATTGTTCAAAACCTTCTTGTTTGTCAACATTGCATGTAAATTTTTGCCAAAATGCAGGAGCAATGCTTTGTCGCATGTGATATTTTATTCGACAAATCACCATATCTTCAACCAAATGTTTCAAGCTTAGTGCTTTTATATCTTCGATAATTTTGGTGAATTCTTCATCTCTGCATTCATTTTGAAGCTGTAAAAACATATTTTCTTATTATAATGTCACGTCGGCTTCAGCATACAGTATGACAAATGTTAAATCTCCGTTAACATTTAATAAATATGACAGAAATTAATAAAATGTTAACACACCTTTCCATTCAAAATAGGAAATGCGTACTGTATTTGAGAGATGACCTCGGCTTCATTTCTCTTACATTTATCCATATTACCAAAAATAAGTTAACTCTCCATGAATATCAAAAATTAATCATAAAATTTTCAAAACTGTCTTTTAAAATACAACCATTGTAATACCGCACTGAACAACTATAATAATATCATCGGATAATATTTCTAATTAATCAGTTATTATCAGTTATTCAAACCCGTTTCATAGAATAACCTCAAATAATTTGACAGGTACACAGTAAATAATTAATATTTAATTTCTAAAACATAATTTATGCAATTTTATGACTAATTTCGATTGAAGTCTTAGTCACAATTCTAGTATACTTTGTGCATATTTGACTCGTAATTAGTTATTAACGATTTTTCGTGAGCATTTTTCTACGTCCATACCGCACAATGTGTAAGACAAGAACAGCTAATTATGAGACAAAGATAACGATAGACTGGGGACTACTGGCGCCATCCACGGAAAAATGCTGAAACTGCTAGCCAAATTTTCCGTCATCAGTTTCAGTCTTCTGCCACAGATGACGCTACAAGTTTTTGGCGAGTAGTTTCAGCATTCTGTCACGGATGGAGCCACATAATCTCGGCGAGAAGTTTCACCGTTTTGCCACGGGATGGCGCCACATATTCTCGGCATGTGGGTACGCCCGTATAAGCGGCACTCAGCGTCACCTTCATTCTAGTTACTAACAGTTGCTACTAACAGTTGCTAAGCAAAACCAACAGATTCTAAAAGTAGTCTAATAGCAATCTCCCGAGAGTACAGACGTACAGACTCACTTACCGCGATTTCCATTTTATCTTCTTTGTCGGCCATCTTGTGGTGGTCCCGGGTTTCGGCACCAATTAATATGTGGCGGTTTACTTGGTATTATGTTCTCTTAAATTGGATTCTCTAAGAACTGGGGACGATGGCTTTTCGATAATAAAGGAAACAATTAATTGGCTAACTCGTAAATTTTCTAGATTTCAGTAGTACAAGTCAATAACAGGCCAGAAAAGAAATTTCGAAAATTTGCCAAATTTCAGTGGTACAAGTCAATAACAAGCCAGAAAC